CCAGATCTATTTTTGGGTCTTCAACCGATGATGCTCATCATCTTCTTCACCAAGCTCATCTTCCATCTTGACCTGTACCAGAAGAGAGATGTTGCCGCCTGCCGCACACCTACGTTTAGGGATTCATGGTGAAGTCCAAGCAGCAGTCATAATTTCCGTCACTCAGCTGCGCTTATGCACTTCCTCGCCGTCAGATTGTCGCCGTCGTTGTTGTGCAAAGCTGGATCTTGTCTCCCCTGTCAATGAAGTTGTAGAGACGGCTACTGTAGATAATCGGATTCTGCAAATTTAGATATGGATTGACGACGACTACCAGCCCCATGAGATGCGTTGGGTCGATGAGCAAAATTTAAAGCGCTGGTGTTAGTAGGAGGGATTAGGGATATGCAGTGAATGAGGAGAGCGAGGTTTTTCATCGTCGTCACTGTTCAAAGGAAGAAGAAGACAGGTCGATGTGGGGAAAGGGATGACCCGCGGTGGCTGGTACTCGCAGGCGTTGGCCCCCAATTTATAATTTTCGTAGAGCTTCAAATACAGTAGGTATTGCGTTGGTGAACTGATTATTCTGAAGATAGAGCTCCTTCAGTGGGATGGTGGTTTTTGCGGATGCGGTGGGGGAGCAGTGACGGCGTGGTGGTGGTCAAAGCATTTAAAATCGGGATTTTACTTAAAATCGAAAACTGGAGTAAAATCGGAATCGTAAAATCAAATCGTAGAATCGTAGGATTTTAAGTACAATATAGAAATTAACATATGATAATATTAATAAGGTAAATCATTAATAACACAAAGACTTATAATATTTAAAGTGATAATTTTCAAGATTAATGTTCCAAAATCATCATTTTAATTGTTATTTAATGTGTAACTCAAAACAATTTATGAGGAAGGGATAGAGCTCATGGGGTTTGGCTCTTGTTTTTCATGTTGTGTCTAGGTAGTTTAACTCAAAGTAGTATTCCGACATTGTCTACTAAGCATGATTTAAAACTAAGAATAACTGAAATCCAATAAAATAATTAATATCATTGGTTTTGTACAAATATATTCATTAATAAAATAATTTTTTAATAATGATGTTAATTCTTACGCACTAACAATATTCTGACAATTGTTTTACCGATGAGTTAAACAAGGAGAAGGGAAAGGGGTTGACCGAACCCTAATTAGTTTTTTTTCTTCTTTTCAAATGTTCTTTCAATAGGAAAAATATATGAGAAGATCTCCATCATTTCCCTTTCCACCGAAACAATTCTGCTTCTTTTGAATTGGCTCAAGCTCCCTATTTTGTTCACATAGGATCAAAATCCCGATTTTGGTACGATTTTACGATTTTAATCCCGATTTTGAACGATTTTAAGGTCGTAAAATCAGGATCACAATCCCCAAGTAAAATCCTAAAATCCTACGATTTTACGATCAAAATCCCGATTTTGACTGCATTGGTGGTGGTGAAGGAAGAAGGAGGAGGCGGTGGGGCAGATTGCAAATTGACGGGGGCGCTAAAGAGTCTGCCAGAGATGAATGGAGAAGAGCTGGGTATTTACTTTTTCTTTTTAAATTTAAGGAAGAGCAATATGTTATAATAAAAAAAATTATTGAATGCCACATCATTTCCAACTCAGAAAGTAAATTGCCACCTCAGAGTCAATTAACAGTTAACCGAAAGGAAAGTTAACAGAATAACTACTAATTTTTTTTCGAAAAGATTTGACTATTAAATTGTTTAAAAAGAAAATTTTGAATATTATATTGTATTTACCCAATTTACATAAAACACAAGATTCCAAAATTTTATACTTAAATCTAACAAATAGCATAAACATTTAACTTTTTAAAATCATAAAATAAAAAAATTATAAATTAAATTCACTAAAATTAGGTCATTTAATTTACAGACGATCATATTGGTCATACAGATAGTATCCACACCTATTTTATAACCGACATTGGTTAAAACCAAATTCAATCGGTCGGGATTCCAAGAGGTGTCAGGTGACAACTCACACCTTAGGTAACCAATTCGTGGAGCGGGAGCGGGAGCGAGAGCGGGAGCGTGAGAACGTCAATTTTGAAAGAATTTGATATAGAGAGCGTCATTATTATATTATATTATTTCTTTTAACATAATTGGTTACCTAAGTTAGTACCTTACCAAAATAGGTAGGCCTAGTGATGAAGGGAAGGCAAGAGGAGAGAGGTCCGAGGAACTTAACAAAACTTTGGGAAATACACTAAATAAATATGCTTGGGTAAGTTTATGTAAATATAGGACTCCATAGTGTCACCAGTAATTGTTGTAACTAAGAACCTTAATCAACTCAAAGTTCATCAAGCACAAGGTTTTAGACTTATAGTATTATTAATTTTTAATGACCCCAATGATTTTACAGAGCACGTACCTACCCCATTGGATAGGCTATTTTAGGATGTTTATTCATGGCTTCTTACCCAAACTAGTAATCAGTGTATGAGAATGAAGCTCGTGCATTTATGGGATCCATTTGATGAAAAGTATTAGCCTTTTATCATGTATTGTGGTTTGTAATAAAAAACCAATTGCTAATTGCAGTAAACCTGTCGGCCCAACTCCCAGCGCCACATGCGCCCACCAACGTAACCAAAATCCTCAAGAAGGCTGGTCACTTCAAGAATTCGCGCTCCAGAAACATGAAGTCGCTCTCCAATGGAGGTTAGTTCGCGAATTATTACCGCTTTGCTGAGAAAATCCGCGTTTCTGCGCGCCGGAGCGGGAGCGGCAAGCCTCAAGAGGCGAATTAGGCGGGTTATTATTTTGAAAAAAATAAAATAAACAATAAATAAAAAGGAAAAAAGCAATCTAAACCCTCTTCCCCCTTATCGCCATCGCCCCTCCATCCACCCACGCCACCCCCAATTTCACGCTCATCCGCCCTTTGGTTCCCAGCTCTATTTTTGGGTCTTCAACCGATGATGCTCATCATCTTCTTCACCAAGCTCATCTTCCATCTTGACATGTACCAGAAGAAAGATGATGCCGCCTACCGCACACCTATGTTTAGGGATTCATGGTGAAGTCCAAGCAGCAGTCATAATTTCCGTCACACATTCAGCTGCGCTTATGCACTTCCTCGCTGTCAGATTGTCGCCGTCGTTGTTGTGCAAAGCTGGATCTCGTCTCCCCTGTAGATGAAGTTGTAGAGACGGCTACTGTAGAGAATCAGATTCTGCAAATTTAGATCTGGGTTGACGACGACTACCAGCCCCATGAGATGCGTTGGGTCGATGAGCAAAATTTAAAGCGCTGGTGTTAGTAGGAGGGATTAGGGATATGCAGTGAATGAGGAGAGCGAGGTTTTTCATCGTCGTCACTGTTCAAAGGAAGAACAAGACAGGTCGATGTGGGGAAAGGGATGACCCGCGGTGGCTGGTACTCGCCGGCGTTGGCCCCCAATTTATAATTTTTCGTAGAGCTTATATACCGTAGGTATTTGCGCCGGTGAACTGATTATTCTGAAGATAGAGCTCCTTCAGTGGGATGGTGGTTTTGCGGCTGCGGTGGGGGAGCGGTGACGGCGTGGTGGTGGACTGGTGGTGAAGGAAGAAGGAGGAGGCGGTGGCGGCGGATCGCAAATTGAAGGGGCACTGAAGAGTCTGTCGGAGATGAATGGAGAAGAGCTGGGTATTTACTTTTTCTTTTTAAATTTAAGGAATAGCAATATGTTATAATAAAAAAAATTATTGAATGCCACGTCATTTCCAACTCAGCAAGTAAATTGTCATCTCAGAGTCAACTAACAGTTAACCGGATGGAAAGTTAACAAAAATAACTACTAATTTGTTTTTGAAAAGATTTGACTATTAAATTGTTTAAAACGAAAAATTTGACTATTATATTGTATTTACCCAATTTATATAAAACACAAGATTCCAAACTTTTATACTTAAATTTAACAAATAGCATAAACATTTAACTTTTTAAAATCATAAAATAAAAAAATTATCAACTAAATTCACTAAAATTAGGTCATTTAATTTACAGACGATCATATTGGTCATACAGATAGTATCCACACCTATTTTATAACCGACATTGGTTAAAAGTTAAAACCAAATTCAATCGGCCGAGATTCCAAGAGGTGTCAGGTGACAACTCACACCCATGATCGCCAGATTCGAGAAAGTTTGGACGGAAGGGAACAATTTGCAACCGTTGGATGATCAGTTAATAGTGGATGATATTTAGATGTAACCCAGTCTGTAGGGTCTGCCTACAGCCTCATACGTGGCTTACAACCATTGGATGATTTTTAATATTTAATTAAAGCTACAATTCTTTTGGAAACTGAAACATTTGCGGCGACGGAAGGCTCGACAATCTCTTTTCTGATGGATTAAAGCTGCAAATCTTTTGGAAATGGAAAGAGTTGCACCGGTTGAGGCTTCCGTCGATCTCTATTCCGATGGATTAAAACATTTTTTCCCCACTAAATCATTCTCCAAATCATAAAAACACTGAACCAAATTCAGAATTGAACCTTAAATATGTTTTCGAACCTAGAGAATTCTTCTTCAATATACTTGTGGCGATTACATTTGCATCGTTGCTGCAGTAGTGTCAGGTCATTGGCCTGAACAAAACGGAAGGATCGCCGACCACATTGGAGCATAGATCGTCGGAGGCCCTCGTCGCCGTAACTGCTTCCGTTTTCAAAAGTTTGCATCCTAATTAAATATTAAAAATCATCCAATAGTTGCAAGCCACGTAAAGAGGCTATAGGCAGGCCCTACAGACTGGGTTGCATCTAAATACCGTCCGTTAATAGTGGGCTAAAATTGACGATCTCACATTGTAAAAAAAAAAAAAAAAAAAAAATTTTTTTGAGGATCTCACAACTACAAGCACTTCGTGCAGCCGCAGCCCCTATGGAAAAGGATTGAGTTTATTGATCTATAAAAACTGTGTCACCTCCACCGCCGCGTCGTGTTTCAATACGGCCGTTTATCGATCTACCGTGGCGATGGCAGGGAACGGCCGTTCGGATTGGGATCTGCAGCTAAGCTCACTCCTTCCCCATTCCTTCCCCAGAAGACGCCGCCGGATCTATCCACAGGGAAACCCTCCTCGTGCGCTGAATCTGTTCAGCAAACTGGGAGACGATCTCCTCGTAGAGATTCTGATTCGCCTCCCCAACCCTAGATTCTCCTGCCGGTGCAAAGCCGTCTGCAAGGCGTGGAGATGCCTCATCTCCGATCCCAGCTTCAATCGCCGCTTTATTTCTCATCACCAGAGCAGGTACGAACCAGCAGTTCTGTGTCTTCCCGCAGACGACCCCCAGTCGATCCTCGGCTTTCTCCCCGTTCCTGATACAGCCCGACCGAATTTGAGAGTATTTGATTGCTTCAAGGATTTGCTTTTATGCGGGTTTGTTGAGGGCACAGATAATTTCACCGAATTAAAAAGATCGTACTTTGTCTGCAATCCGTTTAGGAAGCAATGGATCGCCCTTCCTTTGGTGCCAGAACAGCCAATGGGGTGTCTGCGGATGAAGGCAGTATTAGCTTGTAAACCCCTAAGTAGCAGTTATTATAATCTTGTGCAGCAGCTAGGTGATGAACCAGAACAAACTATCGTTTATTCTGAGTATCGCTTCTGCGTGGTGAGTTTTTCCGAAGCTAGGGTTTCCGGTGACAAGACTTTAGTGCTGCATGTTTTTCGTTCCAACTCTAGGAAATGGAAGCGGATTTTGATTAGTCGTTCTATATTATTTCCAATGGCCAATGTAGTCTCGTGGGAAGGGAAGGTGTTTTGGATGCATTTTGATTCCAGTTACCGTCCCGAAATGCTTGCTTCATTTGATCCTTTCCTCTATAAAAAACCCCCCTGCCAAATGCATTTACCTTCTGAATTGTGGTTGGCATTGTGCAATGGACGTTCCATTATTGCTGTCTCACAGGGTGCTTTTCACATAGTTATATTGGAACTGGAAGGTGTACCTTTTAGTATAAGGAATGCTATGAGTGTTTGGAGACTGGAAGGAGATGGTGAGTATTGGAGCCAAGAATATGAAATGGTGTTTAAGAAGAAGCAATCACCATTCTGGGATGACTATGAACTTAAGAAGTGGTATGTGGTTGATCTGCATCCGGAGAAGCCGGAAATCCTCTACTTTATATCCTTGGACAATTATGCCTTCTCCTACAATTTAAGGACGAGAGAGCCAGAGTTCTTTTCTCTGATTAACCTAGCTCAGTTTGGACGCCCGCCGAGGGTATTCCACCCCAGAGTCGCTTGCTGGCCTACTCCAATTCCAAACTACGAGGACCTGCAGGGTTTTTACGGTGGAAGCTTGGGCAGCAAAACAACAGTTCCCTCAACCACTGGTAATTACTTCAAATTTACCTGTTCTTCGTAGCTTCTCTGCTGTCATTGCATCTCTGTTTACTACGCTACTTCCTCGTTTTATCATGCGAACACTTATTAACTAGCACATACATTCATACATCTCTTGTCTTTCCATGCATGTTATGATGATAGAGGGAGAGTGTAAGAGAGTCATGTTTTTTTTTTTTAATTTCTGAGTGATATCAATGGAGGAAAATAGTTAAACTTACAATTCTACCCAGGAACCCTAAAAGACTCTAAAGAAACCACCCAAAAAAAATCAGAAGATTCTGCCGCTCTATGGGCAGCACTGTTGGCGGATCTAGGTACCGCCCTAAACTCTATACAAACAGACAAAGAGCTAAGGATCTGATGACACTCTCATAACGCCGGACCACCAATCGAGTAAGAGAGTCATGTTATTCTCTCGATTTCTTTAATGTGGCGCGACTTCTAAATTCTTTTACTTTAGTATCCCGTCTCATTTATGTTTTCGGTTGGTTGGTTTGCAGAACGAACAGAAGAATGGCAACCCTTGGTTGAACAATGTGGTCGTAGGAGGAAGTACAAGAGATCAGCAGCAACATTACACTCAGAAAAGATGGTGAAAGCAGCGGGTGTCAAGTTTCAGCATCTGTTGGATGCTAATTAGAATTGTGGAAGCAGTGCTGCACCACCGTATGCATATGATAAGGAAACTTGTTCGCCAGGAGTTCTGTATTTATTTATTTAAGTCGGAAGCCATTGGTTTGATGTGAAGTCATATTGCTAGTCAGCATGGACATGGTTATGTAAAATCGATACAGGTAGCTCTTATAAACTGGAACGAGTGAGCAACTTAACATGGTCCCAACGGACTTAGTGAATTGCCTATTCTGAAACTGTTTACAGACCTTTATGTTTTGTTTGTCAAGGTTGGAATTGAAAGAGGGTTAGGATACAGGAATTGGAATTCCTATCGTGAGGGCTTTTTGTCAAATGTTATGATTTGGATATTGCTGCAACACACCTACTTTAAGGTTTAGGTTTGACTAAAACAATTACGCAAGTTGTAAATTCAATCAAACCAAAATAGGATCAAAGGTATCAAGACCCAATTAAATTTTCTTCAGGTACACTTATCAAGTTAATTACAATTTCGTAAAAAATTCAGTTGAGCATCACAAGTTAATTTATATAAAAAGAAGTTCAGTTACTGTTGTCTATCTCCGCAAGCTGATTGGGTGGCTGTACATTTTATATTTTGATACCCAAATTTAATTAAATTACAACTTAGTCATTACAAATTACAATGTATATTTTACATTTTGATACTCAAAATTTAATTTTAATGTAAAATCATTGAATAACTATGTTTTTAATACGACCCTGGGGGTGTATGTTATCAAAGTCACGCATCAAACAATCAATTCGAAGATTGATTGAACTCTAATCAAGAACAACGCGTTCTTAATACGAAATTTTGATAAAACGGAACCAACGGACAATTCCACACCTGGTGAAAGCTCGTATGGTATAGAAGGGTAGTTGCTCGATCATTGATTGAAGGCACTATTCAATCGATAAAAAGCTCAGCAAGTTCGGAATCCACCAAACCCAAAACAAGTTCGCAAACTTGAACAAACCAAACGGTTTCTTTTCGATTAATCAAAGTCTTATGTTCTTACAACAAAAATAGAAGGCTATTTATAGCCAATAAAACATAATACAAATCTAGATGAACAAGGAAACAAATAAGGTAAAAGTCTACACTAAAAAGGACACAAAATTCGGATTCAAACTCCTTTTCTTGAAGCACAAGTAAGCTGCCAGCAAACAGTCCAAAAACAGCTTTCGTACTAATTTCACGCCTTTCGTTCGAGGCCTTCCAGAACTCCAATCTTTCATCCGATTCCTTCCCTTGGTAGATAAGCATACCTAGTTTCATGTTGTGGAAACCGTTGGACTTGAATCAGATCCATGCTCGTCGAATTGAGCTCCAAATTAGGCTTCATAAAACAGTTTCCAGTTTTGACATAGGCTTTTTGTGAGCTTGGAAGATGACCTTCCTGACTTCTCCTTGAGCAACCAAGCATACCAATGTGTAGATAAATACTCCATATTCAATAAAAATCCTTAATATTGAATTTTTATCAAGCTAATTGTGAGAACCATGCTTTCAAAGTAGGCATCTCGAAACTGTTCCAACACTTAACCAAATTCTGCCCTTCTTCTTTCCAACTTCGATAACTTCTTCCTCAAGTAATAAAAACGTGTAGAGTGGCCATTTGGGATCATATCAGTTTTGGTATCTAAACTTTATGAGATTTTCGTACCTATAATTTTTTTAAATTTATATATTGGTCCAATGTTTAGATTTCACTTGAATCCATGAATCCAATCCACCAATCCTTTTGAATCAATCCATGAATCCAATCCACCATAACCAAAAAAAAAAAAAAATTACAAATTTAGTTTGTACCATACAAGATGTTGTATCACTCATTGTAGGAGAAGATTCGACCATTTTATATTTGCTCATTACGTGAAACATTAAATAAATGATAAAAGAGAGACGACTCTAAAATATTGAAAGAACGATTTTATAAACTCATTTAGTACATTTACGGGGTACTAAACAAACTTCTACTAACTACATGTAACAAACTAGGCGACATCTACATAAGCAAGTGTCAATAAATTGCTATGGTGAGTATGAACGGGAATGTATTCTAATCACAAGTATGAACAGGTTCATACACGACTTACCAACAGTCTAGAGAATTAATAATTGAACCATGAACCACTAACTTTTCCAGCTCATTGTCGAGTACAATTAAAAATAAATATATATGGCTATTACTTATTAGAAAGTAATAATTTTCCACTATAGGATTTGAAGGCGTGAAGTTTTAGACGAGTTCCAGTTTGTATTCATTTTGCTTCTCCCTAAAGTTTTTCCTTTTCACCCGAGCTAGAATTTTCAACAATTATACATGGAATGTTTGGCAAGGTATCTACATGTATCAAATATTAGTTTCCATTTTTCTATAAAAATTTAAATAATTATCATCTTAAATACATTTAGAGCGGGGAACACAAACTGCCCAATTTCCGGTTGGGAAAATTTTCCCCTCCGCCAGACTGCACTGCCGGTTGGAAGACAACTGGACGACACGAGGGCGAAGGTCGGGCGATCAATTGCTGGGTTAGGGAAGGAATTTAATTAAGTTTCCAGAGGAAGGCGAACAGTGGCACAATTCCTTATTTTATTCTCCATCTGGTCGCTTCAGCGGAGCAGAGCAGCGGCCTTTCTCAGGGGAGGGCGCCGACGACTTCAACATAACAGCGGCGCTGACTGTTTTGAGGGCTGTTTGGTCGGGTTGGATTTTTCAACTAAACAGGCGCAGACCCACTTAAAGACAACTAGAAAAGGATACACGGTTTACTAGCGGTGGAGACGGCGGTGACTTAGATCTCTGTTTTAGTGTTCAGATTACTTTCAGTGGCTTATGGGCCTGATTGACTCCGTTTTTAGGGAGATGCAATTGCCATCGAGTGGCTATTGAAGGCCTCGCCAATGACGGAGCTGCTGCTACAACGACACAAGGGATGGCAATTTGGCGGCTATAGCAACGACGATTCCTTTCCCCATTCGCCCTTCCAATACCGGCACCCACATTTCGGTGGCAGTTACAACCTCGGACCCTCCAATCCTAGATGTGGAACGCTTCAGACGGTTACAAGTACAGGACGGTTAGAATTACGATGGATAGGCGGTTACAATTTCAATAGCGGTTCCTAACCTCGTTTAGTTTAAGAGTTTTAATTATTACTAAATGATATATTTAATTAGGGGATTGCTAATTGTCGCCCTAACTTCGTAATCGCCCTAAATTAAAATTACATTTATATCCTTTTTTATTGTTACAATATAGCCATTCAACATTTCTAACTTACCCAAATGCACAATCCCGCCGCCACCCCAAACTCATCGTCGTCGCTGCTCTGAACTTGCTGTGTACTGGTCGTCGGACACAAATTCAAACCGTGATGAGGCGGATGACCTACCCGACCAGACCGTTGTCGGATGTGTGGCCCGCCCGCTTCTCCCGCTTGTCGGGAGGGTTGAAAATATGTCGCCGCCGGTGTGAAGGCTGGCCGTAAATCCATCCAGACCTTGCCGGAGATGGGGTTTCAACCCGTCCGACGAGTGAACCCATAACAAAAAACAAAAATCCAGCTAGAGGAATCCAACCTTTTTCCTCCTCCCTCCTTCCTCATCGATCGGTGATGCGCTCGGTAGCAGCAGGAGTTGGGGGAGGTTATTTTCTGCTCGGCGATAGGATTCCTTCTTCTTCCTACTCGAGCGCTAGCAACCGAGGTTGGCGGCGGCGAATTGCTGGGTGAAAGGGCGGCGGTGGAAGCAAACAAAGGGAAAGAAGCTCGGTGACATGATTCTTTTATCGTCCTCCTTGAGCGCCAGCAACAGAGGTCGGCGACGGCGATGTGCTAGGGAGAAAGGGCGGCCGCATATTGCTGGGAAGGGGAAGAGGTTGGCGGTTTAGGGTTATTTATTGCTAGGGCAAAATCGTCCATTCAATACAATTCAGGCCGATAAATTAAAAAATTTAGGGCGAGATTTAGCCATTCAGTTTAATTATATACTTGTCTTTGATATTTTTGCTGGGTGTTGCATTGCAGGTTTTGTATTCGGCATAAATCGGCTTATAGAAGGCTCTTCAAGAAGACTTTTTTTTGTGTATTTTCGTTTTTTAGGTTTTTGGGCAAACTAACACGGCTGCCCATTGCGTGGCACAAACGGCCCTTGTATCGGTAGCAACCCATGTGGTTTACTACCGCTTTTCATTTTTACCGCATTGTAACACCCTATCTATTACGATCTATCAATGACAAAAAAAAAACATCATTATAAAGGAAGTAAGCCTTAATAGATATTTATATTTATAACCTAAATTTATTTTTTGGCACATAAGTCCTCAAAATATTGATGGAATATTACATTTTAGTATCTAAATTTTTTGTGTACGA